AACAAGATATTGCCTTTTTGGGCACTAAAACAATTCGGACTCTTCAGAAGCTATTAAAAAATACAAGGTTTTTCATATTTGTATTGAAAGCTTGTAATTTAAATATTTAAGCGAATTAAAATATCAAAAAATGTTAACAATTTACATTATAAAATTTAATTATATATAAAAAAGACAAAGAAAATATATATTTACAATACTTTACGAAAAGCCTTTAAACATATTTAATTATTATAATTAATTTGTATTCTTATCTTTATATTTTACTATTAAAGTCAATGAAAGTGTTGAAAATCAGTTTGAAATTGAATTATAGGATTGAATCGAAAATAGATAAAATATTCGCATTATTTAAATCAATAATTATAACTATTTTTATAAGATAATTTTTCGGAAAATTCAAATGTAAAAAAAGCATAACTCTGTCAAAAATTCATTAATTTCAATTCGGAAAGCTTTCCAATGTTAGTTTTTATTGGGTATATAAATTTGCATACTTAATTTTAAGTTATAAAAAAATCAATTTTTCAACAATTTTTTTGCCGAATTTTTAATGATTAACCACTTATAAAATATCGAAAAATTAAAAAATTTATTTTTCTGTCGGATAAAGCTAAATCGAACCGGCTATTAATGCTGATCAAGAATATATATGATTTATGGGGTCGGAAATGACTCCTTCCATGAGTTTTAAGCTTCTGACTGAAATTAAAATATCATTTTTTAATGGATTTTAATTAATTTTAAAAAAGTCAATTTTTTGCCAATTTTTTTTGTCAACTTGTTAATGAAAAACCTAAAAAAATTTGAAAAAAATTAAAAATGTTATTTTTCTGTTAGATAAAGCTAGATCGAATCGCCTGTTGATGCTGATCAAGAATATGCTTTATAGGGTCGGAAATGACTCCTTCAATGAATTTTAAGCTTCTGACTGAAATTAAAATATCATTTTTTAATGGATTTTAACTATTTATTTATGTGACAATTTTTCGTATTTTTCCAATTTTAAAAAACTCATAGCTCTGCCAAAAATTCATTAATTTCAATTCGGAAAGCTTTCCTGCGCTAGTTTTTATTGTGCTAATAAATCTGCATACTTAATTTAAAGTTTTAAAAAAGTCAATTTTTTGCCAATTTTTTTGTCAAAATGTTAATGAATAACCCCCTAAAAAAATTTGAAAAAAATTAAAAATTTTATTTTTCTGTCGGATAAAGCTAGATCGAATCGCCTGTTGATGCTGATCAAGAATATATATGATTCATGGGGTCGGAAATGACTCCTTCAATGAGTTTTAGGCTTCTGACTGAAATTAAAATACCCTGAAAGGGTATAAATATTTAAACGTTTTGAAACATTAAAATATAAAGCTTACATATTTAACTGAGAAAGAATGTAACAAAAATTGATAAAAAAAAAGCTTAAATAGTATTTAGCAATATCAGTTGAAATTATGTTCTATAAACTCAAACTGTTATCTTTAAAATTAATTTACGATTACAGATATATTATTTCATTTTCCTAGAAATATTAAGTCAATACTTAGATAAAATATATTATAAGAAATAATGCTTTCTTTAAGTAAAATTATATTTAGTTGGAAAATTTATATTATTTTCCATTTTTTAGTCATCCATTAACCTGTGCTATCTGTTAGATATGGATATCACATCCATTAGAGTGTCAGTGTCAGGAAATAGGTTCCAGGTCCCTTCCAGGCTCCTCCACCTGCTCCTCCATCTGTTATCTAACCTATCCATATCCATATTTTCCACTCCTATTCCCTATCTCCATTTTGCCATCCATTAACATCTCCATATCCATATCCATAATCATTAATCGACCACGTTGTTCCTATTGATTTTTTTTTTCGAATTCAAAGAGGGGTATTTTTTTGGGGATTAATTTTTTTTTTGCTACGCCACTTGTGTGTGTGTTTTTTTTATTATTATTTTTGTTTTTTATTATCTGCGTGGAACATTTTTTCGTATATTTTTCTTTTGGTTGCGAGTCTGCAGCTGGCATTGGAACACGTCAACGCATTTTTTCACGCTTATCAGATCGGGCCATATAGAGTACACCTATACTATATACAGCAACTTGGCACACATTTCTCCATGGTATATATATATATATATTTAGCTGTGTACCTGTACCTGTATCTACAATTTATCTGCCGGTCGGTGGGCTTATCTTATCTGCGGCAATTCGAGTGCGATGGCAACGACGACGACGAAGACGACGGCGCCGTTCAGCGGATGACGAACTTCAATTCAATTTCTTTTCAATTTCTTATTACAAGGCACCAGACCGACCCACTACCCTTTTGCTGTAAGGTTCTCCCCCCTCAGTTTCCTGGTATTTTTCGCACTTGAAAAAATTAGGAAAACCTCTTAAAAGTCCCTAAAATATTTCATCTATATTAACTATATCTATAGTGAGGCAAATCTTTAGCTTGAGCCGATTAACTTTGTAAAAAGCTAGCTTAAACGTTAATCGATTTTTTCAATAATTATTAGAATTAGAAAAATTAATTAATATTAATCATAATTTCATACAATTATTAAAAGAACGACTATATTTTAATAGTTTACCTAAATATATATATCATTTTTATGGTAGTAATACATAATTCCGTTTGTATCGATATTTATCGATAATTACCGATTATTACATTTATGGCAACATACGAATATCTATGATATCTGTAATAAAAACTATATTTTGGTAGTGTACCTAAATAATTAGCAGGTAATTAATAAATATATATATATATATAATATATATATTTTTTTCTACATTTTCCAAATTCTTTAATAATAGTCTAGTAATATTTTATTTAAAACTAAAGATTTAAAAAAGCTGCATGAAAATATGACTTATAATGTATATATTTTAACAGTTTAATTTAGTAAAAAGGATATTTTTTAATGTAATGTAAATGTTTGTAAATTTTCTAAATTCTCTAAAACATTTCTTAGTGTAAGGCGTGAAAATACTTTCCGCATTTTCAGCTGAGCCAACGCCAAAAAAAAAGTGGCCCCTCAATCGGGTGATGATGCTGTTTTTCTTTTCTTTTTTTTGCTGCTGCTGCTTTTTTCCCCCCCGTTTTGGGAGCTTGGATAACTTTTCCGACTTGGTGGCAGCGGCACCTGGCGCTGTCGCTCTCACTCGCTCGCTGTTTTCCACATTTCCACAAGACAGAGAGAGAGAGAGAGAGAGGGGGGGAAAAACTCCGCGGTAATGATGAGCGACGGTGTCGTGTTTTCATTAAGCTTCAGAAATTTAAATATGTTATAATAATAATGTTCCCTAATAATACGAGCGAGTGTCTGTCTGTGTGGCCCGTGGAAAAATCTCTTGGGGGAGGAGGAAAAGCGACGTTCCTGTAGAGAAAATGCAAAGAAGAAGACAAGTGGCATAGACATTGTCTTAGTCCTTGCCTTTTGATCCTAATCACGGCCGCACAAGTCGGGGGGCGAGATTTTTGGCATACTTCTTACTTCTTTCACCCACATTCACAGCTTTCCCCCACCCCCCTCCCTGCCCGGAAAAACCCACCCACTTTTGGGTGGCGCCACCCCCACATCCTTTGCATTTGCGGCTTTACTGGAAATGTTAATTTTCTGCTAATGGGAAAGGGAATGTGTGTGTGTGTGTGTGTTTTCCGGGAAAATTACTTTCTAAGCAGAGACTTAAATTGCTGTTGAGATTTTTCCAAGTGAAATTTTCATTTTCCTTTAATATTTTTTGTTCACCTCTTTAACACATTAGCTTTTATTTGTACAATATTTAATCTGTTGTTTATTTTATTTCGAGCAGCAGATGTTTGTAATTAAATGGCATTTGGTGTTTGAAGCGACCGTCATGAATATTAATTATTCTGTCATTAATTGATGGATAAATTACAGAGAAAATTCCATTAATTAAAAAGGTAATTAGATACTTAAAAAAGTTTTGCTAATAAGCATAAACTTTATTACTTTATATTGGATTACTGTTTGGATTTATTGAAGGTAAAGTTATAGCTATTTATTTATTTCCTAAAATATGTCTCAATTGGTTTATAATTTGTAATTAATTTTAGCACTTATTAATGAGAATATCTATATATTTGTATATATACAAATATACATTTATAAACCCCTGTCATACTTAAGCCACCAGCTTAAATGAGTTCCAAACAAAGTGTCGGGCCAAATCACTTGTGATCCCACTTCAATGTTTGTGACCCACAAAAACGTTGACCCCCAAAAAAATAAAGAAAAACATAAAAACAGAATCAAATTACCCAAATTACAGCATTAACCCCTGTTCTCCTTAACCCATTAAGTAACTTTAGAAAACGTATAACAAAGTAAATGCAATGGGAAATCATAAAAAAGGTAGAAAATATGGTTGTAAGATAACAAATTATATTGTTTGTCAGTGTTTGTTATTTTTAAAAGGACTTGAAGGTATACCTTATTAAATTTTAGATATGTTTAATCGATAGATTATTTTTTTAATTAATTAATTAATTTTCAAATAATGGAAAGGATAAATATATACAGATATCGATTTTATAGATATTATATCGATATTTTATCAAAAAAATATAGAAATCAAATTTGTATTTAAAACTTATATATATACTGTCTTGAGATACAAGTTTATGTAAGTCTCGCTTTAGGAAAAATTTATATTGCCCTTAATTTATCGGATAAACCTATCGAAATATCTCTGTGCACTTGAAAAATTATCGAAAAGAAAGATTATACAACGATTAACCACATTTTTCATAAAAGTCATCATACAAGGAGTTGAAATAGAATCAAAACAATTTGAGAGTTGTCACAACAGAACTTCCTAGTATAGATTAATCGATTTTATCGATATTTTATCGAAAGTTTTAAATGTAATTTTAAAAACTTTTATTTTTTCGTATAATTTTCAGATCAAATATATATATAAAGATAGTTTTTTTCTATCCCAAAAGAAAGTAATTATAATTTGGACTTACCAAGTGCAGAACGGTGTTGACCACCTCCCGATTGGTCACCTGACCAACCTCGATGAGGCCGATGAGGACGGCGAACTTGAGATTGTCGGCGGTTGTCATTCTGACGATTTCGTCCGGCCGTTTGATCTCACTGTACGGCGGACGCATGATGTCCGCCATTTTGAAGCACAATTTGTTGTTTAGATTATTTTGTTGGATTTCACGATAATATATATTTGTATATATATATTTTTTAACGCGTTTTCAAGACGCGTTTTTGTTAGTTATTTGTTTGTAGTTTCGGTTTTGATTCAATTGTATTTGTTTGTATATTTATTGTTTTGTGTTTTTGTTGGGTTTTTTATTTGGTTTTTTATTTGTTTTGTTAATTTTTGTTTTACATAGATTGAGTTATAGAATTAATGGATGGAATGCACACGAAAATACTCACACACACAGATACACAAATATATAATACATTTACATATATAATAAATATATATATATATATGAAGATGGTAATGCTATATATATATATAAACAATTAGATATTGCCAGGCAATTGGAGGGGAGGAAAAAAATTAGTTGACTTTCTATATTATTTATTAGATTTATCTTTATATAATTTTTTTTCTTTTGTAATTTGGCTGGATTTTTGTATGTCGTATTTTGATTTATTTTTATATATTTTTTCTCGTTTTAATTTTATTTTATATGCACTTTTCCAATTTGTCGCAGTTGTTTTTGTTGCTTTTGCTGCTGTTGTTGTTGTAGTTGGTGGTGGTGTTGTTGAAGTTGTTGGAGAGCAGCTTCGTTGTTGTTGTTGTTGTGGTTGCTGCTGCTGCTGCGTTTTTTGCTCATATTGAACAACATTTGCTGCCGACACTTGTTATCAAATTTTGCATTATTTAATACTTTTGTTATGTATATATATATTTTATTTAATTGCACACTATGTTGTCAATTTTTGGGTTTCAAAATTAACGGTTTGTATTTTTGGTATTCATTTTTTTTTAGGTTTTTGGTGGTTTTTTTTTTTTGGTGTGGTTGGTGATGGTTTGGTGGTGGTGACATACATAAAAAAGGAGAGAAAGAGAAATATATAGGTACATGAGTACGAATGCAATAATTCCGAGCTGCGGATATATTTTTTTTTTTTTTAGTTACAGTGCGTTTCATGAACGTAGGTTAAGTTTACATTGTTCTAATCATTGGTTTTTCAATTTGAAATTGTTTTTGAATTGTTTTTAAATATATATATTTTAGAGGACAGATTTTTTCGATAGTTTTCTAGAATAATCGATTGCTTTTAAGCTAAAATCTATTTATAATGCATACATATAATACAAAAGAAATCTTTAAATAATTCTTTGCTAGTTATTATTAACAAATCTATTTTATAAATATTGAAATTGTTTAATTTTGTTGTTCTTACAGTTTAATTTATTTAAATTCGATATTTTTAGCTGCCATCAATCGATATTATAAGTATTTTTTGTTATAATATCCAATTGTGTAATCGAAACTTGGATTTATTCAATAATTATTACACCGAATAAATTACTATTACTAATAACTAAATTATTCTGATAATTTAAGCAATTTTATTTCCATAATGACAACAAGTTGCTATAGTTTTATGGATTATAGCGACCGGTTTTAGGAATTTTTAATTAGTTTTACCTTTTAATAATTTTAAAAACTCAATATTTTGAAGCTTTGGCTTAAGGCTTTATTTATTACGAAATTCCCTGAACCAAGTCCATGAAACGCACTGTTCTTTTTCGTGGTTTTACCAAAAATTAAAATGAATACATAAACAATTAAATTAGATTCGTATTTTACATATAATCCAGCTACAGAGTAAAATTCAAAATATTCGTTTGATCTGCCATGGGTTAAGTACGGGGGGGAAAAGGCAGTGGTTTTCCAGGGGGGAAGGGGGGTTAGGGAAATGATGGAAAATAGGGAGTGGAAACTCAAGGGGAGGGGGTAGCGGAAAAACCAGAGGGTAGTGCGGCATACACGTGCTTGATGGAGCAAATTTTCGTTCCATTATTCATTCGCTCCTTGGCTGCTCCACAGAGCAAAAGTGGAAAATTGTCGAGGGAATTTATGTGCATTTATAATTTTTTTTGCGCTTTAACTGTTACTTTTATATATATATATATTTTCTCATGTATAAATACTATATTTTACCCTGCTGAATCCGAGTTAAGTTAAAAAAAAAAAAAAACTTGCATTGCCCAGATTTTTAACCTTCATTTGTTGACCATTTTCATTATTATTCAGACACAATGTTATATATATATCATATATATATATATCAACTATAGTTTTCTCGGTTCGTCACGCACTGGCGATAAGACCTGGCCAAGAGTTGGGGTAAAAGAGAGAGGGGAGGTTGGGCATTAACCCCAGAGAGTTGGAAAAACCATGGGAAAACTGTCGGGGCAGCTCTAAACACTCGGCAAACACAACACAAACAGCGGCTATTATACTTATACAGACAGACAGATATATATATGTATATATATATGATATATAGAATGCTGACACACCTGAAGAAGGTGTGCTGCTTCTGATTCAGCCAAAGTTGGTAATTATGGTTTTGGTTGTTAAAGAAAACCAGCTGCTTTTAAGTAACTCTTTGACGGACTTTGCTATACAATTTCATAGAGATTAGAAAACTCTAAGCCACAAAATCCAGTTTTATAATATATTTTCATTATTTATCTATACTTTTGTGCTTTAAATTTGTAATTGTAATGATTAGTAATGAAAAGGAAAACAGCTGTGAAAAGTTGTAAGACAGCTTTGGCTTTTATCTTTGTTAAACAATTGTGTTTTGTATTTGAAATTATGGTGCTTAGTTTTCATAAAAAAATATATATAAAATTTGAAATTCTTTTAAATTGTAATAGGTATTTTTTATACCCTTGCAGGGTATTATAATTTCAGTCAGAAGTAACTATGATCAGTAATTAACTATGACCAGTAAGTATGTATTAGCAGAAAGTAACTCTGAATAGTAAGTATCTATAACCAGTAAGTAATTCTGAACAGTAAGTATCTATGATCAGTAAGTAACTCTGATCAGCAAGTATCTATGATCAGTAATTAACTATGATCAGTAAGTATCTATGACCACTAAGTATGTATGTATGATCAGTAACTAACTTTGAAAACTAATAAACAATGACTTGCAACTTTTTTAACACAACACATTTCTAAGACTTGGCCGGCAGCAGTCACTTCGTTCCGGGGAGGTTAGAACATGTTGGGAATCATAAGCACAGATGTGCGAGATTTGTTTTGGAACAAGAGCCAGCTATTTAAATGAAACTATGGAGTTATTCTTCTATATAATTTTACTGGTATATAAGTCGGAGCATGACGAATAGGTAGACTATATATATATACATATATATAGCTGCCATAGGAACGATCGGAAAATTAAATCGTATGAAAAACGTGAAAAAAAACCAAAGGACAAATTAGTAAGCTCCTATATCTATCTTTCTCGCACTCAATTCAGATGTTTAGCGGAGTTTTGAACCAGAGTTTTTAAATAGAGCCTCAAACAATTTGACTTGTTTAGTTTTTATTATAATTTCTTTCTTCTTGAATGAAAAAATAACCTATAACTCGATAAAAGTAGAAACTATATTTGTATTGTTTTTATTATTTGTTTTTTAGGCTAATTAGAAAGATTTAAATGGGTTGGAAAGTTAAATAAAGTGTTGAACTTTTTTAAAACTCATTTTGTACTATTTTTTACAAGGTTTACCTTTAAAATTGTTAATTATTTAACAAAAAAAATCCCTTAATCTAGATAAATGTTAATGCTACATTTTTATTGTTATTAATATTATTATTTAATCAATTAAAATATATTATTTGTGTAATATCTTTGCCCAGGAAAGGTAAAATGAAGGGTACAACTCTTAACATTCTTCTACAATTGCAGGCTCCATTTTTTCTAAATACTTCACTATATATTGCTAATGACACTACGAAACACGTAAAAATTCATTTTAAAACAACAAAAACTAAAGATACAAGTAAAACCGGCGTGGCAAAGTTAAATAAAATAAATAAATAAAAATTCCGCTATGCTGACGTTGACAGAGGCAGAGCACCGATTGCTTCATTTTTTCAATTAAAGTTACTCTCTTATTTTTTATTTATTTATTTTTTTGTACCTAGTCCCAGGTAACTTCTCTTCTTATCTGTTAATTTTTGTTCCAATTCGATTTTGCCTAGACGGATTTTCGAGCCACTTTGCTAATTGCACGTCAACAGCAATTCCAATTGGAAGAACGAGGCGGCGAGTCTCATTGCGTTCAGAGTTGTTGCCTTTGTGTTGCTTTTTTGGCTCTGAGCTGTTACCACTTTTTGTTGCTTTTTGTTGTCAGACAGACAGAGAGAGAGAGAGATAGAGAGAGAGGGAGAGAGGGTGAGAAAGAGAGCTAGAGAGAGAGGAAGTGGAAGAGAGCGAGTTCTACGCTCAGTTGGTAATTTCGTTACGAAATAAAGATGCAATGCCAGTTGGGAAAAAAAGTCACGCGTTCGATCAAAAGAAAGATCAGTTGTTGCCACCTCAGCCCCTTATTTTGTTAATAAATTGACAAACAACTTATATATTTACAAATGTTAATAACTTATTTACCAAATAATGTAGTTTGAGGTAAAATTAAACGGCTTAAAACATTTTAAATGGAGTATTTCCCTTTTAAAAATCAATTTAAAAGTTCATTTTCTTTAAAATACCACATTATTTATTAAGTAAACTAAACAAATATTTAAGAAATAAAAATAAAACATTGCCACTAACAAATTTGGTTTATATTTGTTGCCAATTTTTAATAATTCATTTCAATAAAATACATAAATAATATTTAAATGAATTTAAAATGTATAATAATTTAAAAGAATTTAAAAACACATATTTACAGAATTCCGTGAATATCTAAATGTCAAAATTATTCATTTTCGTGGCTTGCATTTTAATAAAAATTATAAAAAAGCTTTTATTTATCGATAATAATTCAATATCCTAATTTTTCCTATTTCCTATTTTTATAGAACACCTCTTTACATTTTTTATGTAAATAAATAAATTTAATTGATAATTAAATAAATAGTAAAAGAAAAGTGACCAAACAACCAATTAAATATTCATAATAGTTGGATTGCTTTTAAAAAAT